GTTTCTAGATCAGGCTCCTGAAAATGAAACACTGCAGTAATTTGGAGGAGTGATACTGTAATAGATGTACTCCCTGGAGGATCGTTCAGTTAAATCAACACCACGCAGCGTAAGGAACTACATTAACCATGGTTTCCTGTCAAACGGATCTCATCCAGACATGGTCGGTGCAGATTCACGTGGGACCCAAATGGCCACAGACGAAGAATAACACCAGGCATTTCCAAGCAGCTCCCGTCCCATGTGACGAGGACTTAGCCTCACCTCGTTCCCAGCTGCTCAGAGGAACAAAAAATTACTATTTTGACCCCTGCTCTGTTTAGTCTACAGACCTCCACTTTGTGAGTTTGTTGAATTAGCAGATTGACAAGATGTGACCCGACCCCTCCGGATTTCCATACGGCAGGGAAGCGGCCATCTTGTCTTACAACGTCAATGTTTACCGACCATTTGCTACCGCTCCCTGGAGAAACGGTTTCTCACCCGGCCCGCCTTTATTTCTTGCTAATGGAGTTAAAAAAGAAAAAGGAGAGGATTATCATACTCCTGAAGAAAAATGTAGATGTTTTTCTCCTGATCTCCTAAGATATGAAATGTAGGTTCCAGGTTTTATATTAGAACACGCTGCATAACTTTCTGTCAGAACTGTAACCAACAGTTTTTGTGCTTAGACATTCCAGTACATTTAACTTCTTTAAACAAAATGTAAGAAAAGCAACTTTAACAAACAGTCAGTAACACCATTGCACACAAGTATCTCCAAAATGAATCCAAAAACAGAGAACTGACAGCCCATCACCTGAAACAGTAAATGATCAAATATTCTAAAGTCTGTGTGGTCACTTAATAGGAGCTGTCCGTTCAGCACCACAACCAAAATCAATGGCCTGTGTGAGAGAAATGGACGAAAACTAAATATAAAAATGTTTCCACATGGATTCATTTTTTTAACTTACACAGACAACGGACAGACTCTTAGAGTTTCAGCCAAAAAAGCATTTACCGCTCAGTTGTGTTGCTTTTTATTATTGAAGACATGAGAATAATCATTGTTCTTGCTGCACAAAAGGCCTAATTTTCTAAAACGACCGGTGGTCAGGCGACCATTGTCCGATTCTCCCCTCATGCAAATGTTTTAATAGTAGACCAATCAGTATGCACATACAGTATGCACATACATTATACCTGAATACCTGGACATTTTCTGTGGCTTAGTTCTGCATAAGAACGACCCTGTAATCACTGGGTTGACAGTTTGAATCCCACCCTGGCAAATCCCCCACAAACCACCACCACCACCACCACCCCTTGATGCACTCCTGGTTTGTAGCCTACTGTTCCTGATTCATGGATGGATTCAATGAAGGCAATAATACACTATGTTTATTGTTGTGTGCATGTGCTGTGACCATTTACAAAAAACACAGAGAAATTACATGTTTATGCATTTAGCAGACATTTTTATCCAAAGCAACATACTAATATGGGAGGTGTCATTAAGTGCTCCCTCTGAGAATCAAACCCAGGACTCTCTGCCCTGTGCTTGCATGGCAGGCATGCTAAACTCTGCACTATGGCACCACTAAGAATAGCTTCTCTTCAGCCTTCATCACGCAACAAACTCATCATCTATGAACTGTTGGTTGTTCAGAGATGATGAAGACCAAATGAAATAGTTAAAAACCTCCTTTTTTTAAAAAAAAGACTAAAATAAAAATAAACCGTGTATGAAGAAGGAGACATCTGCCAACCAGGACTGGTGTGTGTTTGGTGTGTTTTTATGGAGTCCATCAAGGCATTTTTCCCATATGCATGTATTCAGACATGAAAACAATTAACATAACTTTGGTCCCAAAGATATTTCTCCTCACGAAACACAACTGAGAATTCTCTTGAGTTGTGTGGGAATGTGAGACCAGTTTGTACTGAGCAATGTTTCTGATTACTGACAAATCATTCAAACAGAATGAAGCAAAGAAACTACATCCGTGACACACACACATAGAATCCTGGGGGGGTCTTAAAAAAGTGACGATAAGGAAAAATGATTCAATTATTATTTTTAATATATTTTTTTATAATTATTAAATTATTTATTGTTCTTAATTTTCATATGCTACACCAATATAATAATTATTGAATAGTGAATAAAAGTAAATCTATATGTTCTCAAAGTTGATGTTTCTTCTACATATTTTGTAGCGTTGTCTGTGGGCTGGCATGGAAAAATTTGCGAAGCTCCGATCCAAACAGTCAGACCAGGTCAACAGGTCAGAACAAACATCTAGTCCGGATCAAATGTGAAGCACATTTACTCATGCCTTAATCACTAAGCACATTCAGGGGGTCACACTGACATACACAAGACTTTCTGAGAACACACCCACTATAAAGTTGTATTCTGTCAGCGTACACTGCACGGACAACGACACACCCTGAGCTACATTTGCTTTTAAGTCTGACTGTAAAAGTGGCGAGGCCTCTGGGGGCTGAGCAGGGATTCGTTTGCATGTGAATGTGTAAATGTACTCTTTTACACAAACACTTTGCGGTCGTCTATTTGTGTGTTTGCGCTTGTTCTCACTTGTTCTGTGTGCACACGACGATTGGCGTGTGCTGCGTGTGTGCACCAACACTCCTCCCGGCTGTATCCACGGCTCAGTTTGTTCCTGTTGTGAGTTGTTTGTTGTTTCGTTGGTGGGAAAACACAAGCGCTTCATTAAGTGCCCCGTTGTGTGAAGCAGAAAAATCCATCACTCCCGCTACAAGTGTCAACACACCATGATGTCACTCATTTGGTTTAGGAACTGCTGTTTTGAAGCCTGAAGTTAGAGAACCATCTTGTTCTTTAAAACCACGAGAGACCGTTTTTAGATGAGAGCCTTCGAAGTGTCTTTGTTTCCTGAGGGTGATTAGTCAGCAGCGAGCAGTAACCACAGACATTTGAAACCAATGAATAACAGTAAATACAATCACACCGAGTCATTAGGAAAGCCAATAGCTGCAGGGATCAATTACTCCTTAATCGGTTGGCATCTTGCATCTTATATTGAGCTGGGAAAGAAGTGAGCAGACCTTCATCACCAACTGTCAAAAAATCTATTAAACTTATGAATTACAGTGTAATTTTATTACCAAGAGAAATAGACAATCCTACACAAAATAACTGCTCAACCACTGTCAAATGATTTGTATTTGAATTAATGTAATTATCTATTAATTAATCTGACTAATCACACTATAGGTGAAGATTACTTATGATTAATCATAATTTTTTGTTGATCACAATTAATCGTGATTAATAAAGATAAATCAACATTGCTGACCAAAACTTTATTCTTCTTTATTCCTGGAGCAGAGAAATAGGTGACAGCCGGTCGATGAATGTGTATCACAGCTTTCTTTATTGTGCTAAATCCAAAAGATTATTTTATTATTATAGCAGGATGGGCCGTAACATTACAAGTAGTAATGCATTTAAAAGTTCAAAATGTAGAGATAAAACCGAACACCAAAAGGTCGTGAGGGTGACATGAGCACGCCACCTGGCTGTGGTTTTTTTCCATCTGATATAATGTAGAAAACAACTAGTGGTCATCTGAGGTAAAGCTTGTGAAACTGTCTTCATCCATGTTTGCCAAAATTACTTTGTTGAATCCTGAGTTTGTACGAAGAGCAGGCGTGTGATCCACATCTGTCTCCGAACTCCAAAGTAGAAATTGTCCATTTCCTGGTATAGTTTCACATCTATATGATTGGATTTAACTCAGGACTGGTTGGATAATGCAGGTTCACCAAAGTAATTCCATGCATTACTGAGTAAACTCACATCCCCTCCCTCCCTCTTCTCTCCCTCTCTTCCTAGACGATGAGCCGTCTGATTAGAGCTTCTCTCTGGAGTCTGTTGAGGAGTCTATCCCCACATGCATTGGCTAACGCACACAGACACTTAGAATCCTCACTTGTTCTTTACACACACACTAACACAGACACATGCGTGCGCACACACACACAGGCTGAGCAACAGTTAGATACCAGGCTGTAGTCTCCAGTCTCTAAACCCTATCAGCTCTCCCGGAGATAAGAAGTGTGTCTCATTGTTGGCAGACAACAGTCCCGTTATCATCTTATCAGAGAGCCAGTGCAATCTGGAGGAGGCGGGGCCGCACAGTGTGTTTTCTTTAGTCTGTGTGTGTTAGTGGTGGAGCAGTGGGGGGGGGTGGAGAATTGGGGTGTACTTCAGTCAAGTGGGGCTCTTTGTCATGCAGCAGGTGCTGTCGTAGCTCAATTTGTCCTGTTGCTTGAGACGTCAGATAGATGAGCCGCGTTAGCATGACAACACGTGTGAGTGCGCAGCCGTCACCTCATCCCTGTGATGAGCGGACCACCTGATGAGTGGCCCTCTGTGGCCTGATGTGGTGTTCTGACAGACAGTCTGAGGACGGTGTGCAGCCTGACTTTACTGCACATGTGGAGCCAGATGCTTTATCCACGTCACCATCTGCCCCGACAAACCAACATTAGCCACGAGGTCACATTCTTCTGTACCTGTAAAAGCAGATCTGACCTCAGGATGCAGATGTAGCGTGCTGTGTTCAGGTCCTGCTGGAAACCAAAGTCAATCAATAACAGGTGATGAGGACGGTCAATCACAAACTGGTCTGGAGCTGGAAAATGGTTCTGTCAGACATTGTAGACTAACTTTACTAAACCAGAGAAGATGAATTAAAATCTAATAGGAGAGTGTAGCATCAGTTATTAATCCAGTTTATGTGTTTGTTTTTATTTGATTAACTTTATTGATCCCACACGGGAAATTCTTGCCTTAACAGCAGATGTGCTGCAACAGGCTGCCCCTTGGTGGCGCCAAGTGTGTGGTTCCGGCCTTCTTTACTTTTTTTATGATGATGTTAAAGCTTCATAAAAACCAAAAACTGTTGAGTCATCAAACAGTATCAAGAACTAATCATACTTATTTTATTTTTATTTTTCTCTTCCAGTCAAAGAAAAGGAGAAAAGGGAGGTGTCCAGGGAGCAACCAGAAGAAACAAGAGGAGCAGAGGAGCCAGTCAAAGAGGCCCGAAGGGAAAAGAAGGAGTCAAGGAGCAAAGAGGAGCCAAAGAAGGAGTCCAAGAAGGAGTCATCATCCTCCAAGGAGAAAAAGGAGTCTTCAAAGGAAAAGAAGGACAAAGACAGAGAAGGGAAGGAGACTAGTAAGGAAGCAGTGGAGAAGAAGGCCTCCAGGAAATCTTCAGTGAAAGTGAAGGAGATGAAGAACGAGCCGCATGCTGAAGACGGTTGATTAGAAGAGTTGTGAACATCGTATACAAACATCAGACACACAGTAAAGTGTAAAGGTTGTAGACCACCAGGAGTTTTTGTTGTTACAGCAACTTTGTGGGGTCACTTTATTTATTGCTATTTTCAGTTTTTTATTAGGACCGAAATCCATACACTAAAAAAACAAAACAAAAATGATCAGTCTTTGTTGGATGATACTGTCATTAGGTGTTTTGATTTTTTTTTTTTTCATACTGGTTTTAAATGTTTATGAATATATTCCACTAAGACCTGACGTGCAATATATTCACAAACTCTTCGGTCAAATGTTCCTCCATCCTCATGAAGACGTGGAGTCAGATGTAAACCCTGTCACTCTGAGGTTTAACTCGTCGTCGATACGTCTTGTCAGTTGTCTCTCTTCCTGATCCCTTCTGAATCTTTACCTTTTATTCTTACCTTACAGTTGAACCTGATTTTTCTTCAGGCCGAGACACAGACCCTCGGTTTCTCTGCCTGTGCATTAGCAGTTAGCATCACTACTACTATAAACAAAATGTTGGCCTACGACTTTTACACAGTACTGCATGTACTCACAAGGGCATACACATACAGGAGAGGTACATATTTGTGTAGATGCAGGGTGAAAGTAAACACATACAAGGCCACCAGACTCAGCAGCACATATTCACAGATGCAGTCTAAATATATATTTGCATGTAAATACATTCAGTCAAGGCCACATATCTGAGCAGCAGAGCTGTTTCCTACCAGACGCATATTTACATTACCCAGTAATAACTGATCCACACACACACACGCCGACTGCTGCTGGACCTCACCACATCCAGCCCATTTTTGTGTGTGAGCACTGGGTGACTGTGGTCTGAGCCCAGGGAGAGCGAAGACGGAGGCAAAAAATCCTCCCGGGGCATTTTGCTGACTCTCTTCTTCTTCCTCATCACCGTCTTCGACCGAACCTCAGCAGCAGTTGAACCCGCAGCCCTGCGCTTCCTCTAATCCCAGTCCGGGCCAAAAACCACCCGCAGCCCACGCTCACTCCTGGATGTGATGTCAGACCCGCCCTCTCGCCCCCTCGTGTGGCAGCGGGCCTCACCAGAGCCCGGCTGCCCCCTCACTAAGAATAACCCGCTCGCCGCGTCGAGCCGACCGGCTACTTCCGGGTAAATCAAGGCCACATCCTCCAGTCGCCTCCTCCTCCAGCACCTCCCCCTCTGACCTCTGCCAGGCGTTTTTATGTGCTTTTCTTTTTAAATCTGGGAGACTCAAGGACACACAGCTGCTGATGGACACAAACACGGTGCCCCAGGGTCAAACCTGCAACTTTTTTTAAAGAATGGAAACCAACAGGGCGTTTCTGGGGAGAAGTTTGGCAGCAGCGGAGAAGAACCAGCAGCACCAGTCTGACACCAGAGGCCTTTTCTCTCTCCTCATCTTCTTAAACACTGTCAACAGGAATCGTGGATGGCATCTGAGACGTCAGCAGTTCAACCTGCTGCATGGGTTGTCTTCTTAAGATGCAACATGTTGTTGTTAAAATGACCAAAACTAGTGTCTCAGAAACTTCACGTAAGAAAACATGCATTGTGGTTTGACAACATGCCATATGAAACAAGGACATAGCCATCTGGAGACGCTAACACTTATCTGGAAACATCCAGGTGTCAGATATGACAACAACCTTTCAGTTTTAGTCAGACCATGCGTCTGTGTATGTGTAGGGTTTTAACATGTATTTTCCTCATAAATCGGATCATTTATCTCCTAATCATCTCATGTTGCAGATCTGGACTTTTCTTACTCTCAGCAACATATTGAGCATCACCCGCTGCCAAGTACAGAGAGTTAGTGTCAAATGTCTGATCAGAGCCGATGTGATCAGTTTAACTTAGCCAAGTTTCTTAGAGAGGTGGAGGCTCCCTGTGTGGAGAAACATTAAGACACAGGTTGGGGTTCTGTTCTCAGCCTGTATTTTAATGTGTGATGTGTAGTCAGTTGTGATTGGCTACCTCTTTTCTTAACACGTGTTGATGCAAACTTCACTCATTTTGATCAACTGCAAAAAAAAAAAATCTCAAATTCACATCATTGACTTCTTGACTTATTATTTGAGTCCAAATCCATGTCTTGTAAAGTTTCATGAAATCCAGTACTGGACCACATTAGGGCGGTGTGAAAATACTGTTTTGTTTTGTTTTTTTTTTGGGGGGGGGTATGTGTTTGTTTTTCTGCCATAGACCAAAACTATACAATGAATGTTAATGAAACTAGAGAGAGTATGGTTTTGTACTGTTGTAGTAGAAATTCACAGACTCTTGTATCCACACTTCACTCTACGGGAACACTAGTGCTCAATGTGAATAAGCTTAAGGGATTAGGAGTATATTTCATTTGTATTTATTAGATAAAAACCTGTCAACTGTAATAAATTGCACCTTTAGCTTAATGCTGTTTGTTTTGTTTTTATGTTTTATTCATGACGTAAGCTGAAGTAGTGTTCACACACACAATGTTTTCTGGAGTTATTTTTATATATTCTATTTTTGTATATTTTTGTTCTAAGTCACAGAATTCACCTGTCGTTGTGTTTGTTGTCATATTGGTACAGTATTGTCTGCATTGGTCTGAATTTCTGGTGTGTGTTTTTCTTCTTCTTTCTTATGAACTGTATCACTGTAGGTCTGGACAATTTTACTACAAGACCACCGACAGCCTGAAGCCAGACATACAGTAGGTCTACAGTAAGTAGGTTTTAGTCTTTGTTTAACTGCATAATTTTCACTCTAAGTTGGACTTTGTCTCAGCTGCACTCACGTCTATATTTCCCACTTTTTTCTTGAAAGGATTTTCAAGGATTTTTCCAAAACATTTTCAGCTGCTACTGCAAGTCACAGTACATTGTTTGCTGTTAGCATGTAAACTGACAATTAAGAGAAATGTCAAATTAGTTTAACCTTGATTGCATTCACTTCTTATCTGATCTCTTCTTATAATACTGGGCTACATTTGGTAAATATATGGCCTTAAGACTCACATGTGGTTCAGGAACCACGGGTTGCAGATCTGTGGTCTAGGTCTTACAGCAGTTACATTGTCCCTGATGGTAGTGATGTTTGTAGTAACCCTATTTCCAGCTCCTGTAATTGTCATTCCTCATCTATTTACAGAACAACTGCAACAATGAAAGAATATGCATCACATTCAGGAATTGTCACCATCAGCATTTGAATATTTGGAATATATAGAAGGCTGCAGCATTATTTGTTGGACACAGAATGATAATTTTACAACTTCTGAGCTGGTTTTGTATGGATGGCTTTTGGCTGAATTTTATTTATTTATTTCTTCAAGTGAGGTGGTTATTGTCCCATACTGAGGACACACACACAGACACTCCAGTTGTCCGTGTCTCTACTCAGTGACGATGACAGTCATCCACCATTTTCACCTCCTTAAATCTAAACTTCAAAGATATTCCCTTCAGAGCATTAAAAGCCTAAATTTCCGACACTTCTCCAACGCAGTGCGTTCCTGTGTTTCCATAGAGAGTTGTGGACAGCGTGTTGAACACAGCCTGAGGTTTGTCACGTCGGTGAACAGGACTCACTCTGACGGCCTTTGAAGTGAGTGCTTGTTTTCCCGCTCTTTTCTTCTGCCCTGGTTGGGGCTCTGCAGGGACGACTCTGCTGCAGATTGGGTAACAGAGCCGAGGCAGAGCTGCCGATTGTTTCATTTGGCAGCAGCGTTGGCCGTGTGTACATTTAGAAGAGCTGCAGATAAAGTTTCACCTCCGTGAAGCCGCCTGACGCTCTGTGTTTTTGTTTCTTAGTCACGCAAAATTATTTTAGCTCTCCTCTCTGAGCCGATGTCTGTTTTTAATCCCCTCATCACTCAGTCTTTATCCGTATGGTATGAAAATGTTCTTTTATCTCCAGCTTTCTCCACCTGCTTCACCTCACCATCACCCTTTCTCTCCATCACTCCTTTAACCCGTGTCACTTTTTTTTACTCCTCCATCTGTCATTTTAAATCTCCCTTTCCCTTTCCACTTGGACTTTTTCCCTCTTTTCTTTCATCATCTCTTTTAACTTTTACCTCTGGCTTCCTTTCTCCTTCTTCTCCTCTTTCCCATCATTTAAATCCCTACGTCTTTCAGCTTTTACCAAATTTCCAGCTTCTCTTTGTTGTTTTCTTTTGCTTTTCTCAGTTACATTTGTTGCTGCTTCTGATATTTTCTGAAAATCTGCAAACTTGAAGTCAATTGTCCGACGAGGTACAGAACTGTGCAAATAATGTTTGGATCTGTGGACACTGTCGTTCTTGAACTTGACACTTTTCACCATCAGGCTGAGACTCAAAGTTAGTTCTGTTTGAAAACTGCAGTTTCATGGTTATAGTTTGGTCCAGTCCTATGAGAAGAATGCAGTTTAAATGCTAGTGGACACATAGCTACTGATGATAAAGTGCTCTTTTTGACCTATTATGAATTACAATAAACATTTAGTGGGTTCATCTGTTTCCCCATATTCATTCCCTCTGACTCTGTGCAGCAGCAGAATCACAGGATGTCACATTATCACCATATCACATTCCGTGACGGGAATCGAAATTTGTCAGAGGAATCAGTGTCAAAGCAAAAACCAAAAGGTGCTGAAGTTGCAATGTCTCAGATTTGACCTCTGTCTAAGTGGAAACCTGATGAGAGTAACTGAGTCACTGATGATGGCAGCATCAGGAGATTTCTTTCTAGCTGATGTGTATATGGAGCTGCAGAATGAACGTGAACATTGAGGGATGTCAAAAGTAGTTATGACAGTACTGCATGCGATGTTTCATCCTTTTAGTTTTTATTTCCCAGTGGTTCGATTTGCCATTTGGGGGCGATTAATACACCATCAGTGTATTAATTTATTGGTCAGACTGGCCCATTGAAGATGGTGGATCAGCAGCCAAGTCATCGACACCTTCAGGTGTTTATTTCATCACCGCTGTCCTATAGAACACAGCCCTCTATATACACACAGAGAGAGAGTTCTGACAGGGTAAGTTCACGATTTATTTACTAAGTCCTTGTGAAAGCAGTTAAAAACCGACCGATCATTTTTAATGTCTGTTCCATGTCTCTGTCTTCTCCCTCCTTCAAAGGCATCAGCACACAGTAAGATGAACCCTGCTCTGATGTGTCACTGTGGTGTGGTATGGACAGAAAGTATAGAAAGATAAATGTCACTTTTTTATGTATGTACTTGTTTTTCTAGCCCAGCTCACAGACATGCACTTACTCTAAGAACTTTTCCACAGCTTTGGTGATTTAAAGGAGTTGCACAGTTTGTATACACATTCAAGGGAGTGGGGTGGTGAGTGTGATGTCACTGTATATGGTGGGCTGGTACAGACAGTAGTGATATGTTTAGAAGCTGCTGATATTGCACCAGAACTGTAATGCACTAACAGGTATGCTTTATACCCCTTAAAGGACACATTAATAAACTGGTCGATCATTTTTACACTATATATTTTTTTTATAAGAATCAAAGATTAATTGTTGTGGTAATCAAAGATTAATTGTTGTGGTAATTAATCATGATTAATGAAAATGAAAATCTGTATACTCCTGGAACCAAAAGACCGACCTGTGTCATGTTTTCCCAACGTATGCAAATAACGACGACATTTATCAACTGCGTATCAGAGCAACACTAAGTCGACGGACGGTCGAGGCATCACTCTGCCTAGTGTTAAAATACATAATAAAGAGAGAACTAGTAGAACTCAATCCACCAGGTTGTCCTGTGGGTTACAACTGACCCTCAGTGGATCAGATGGGGCAGCTGTTCTAAGTCTGAAGGGGGGTCATCGGGGTCATCTGCAGGAACACAGTCAACGTACTGCAAAAAACATGTAAATTAAAAAAAAAAGAAACTGAAGACCAAGTTGTCATGTGATCACACCACATCACAACAACGGTTTAACTTCTATGTCACATCAGAGCAACATGTCATTCCTCTGTTCTCTCTTTAATTTTCTCCCTTTCTGTTCTCCCGCATTCGCCTCCTCTTTCTCTCCAATTTGTTTATTTTCCATATTTTCACTGTACTTATTCTCACTGACCTCCTTCCCACTTACACGCCTCGGAGCGGCAGAAAAGCAGCCCTGATGTGAGGAGCCAGCAAACGTGGCTGCACACACCCAGCAGTTAAAAACATCAAACAACAATGCAAAACAATGAGCGTGTAATAAAAGCGGCATTTGGGCTGAGACGCTGAGGAGCAGGCGGCTCACTGTGGCTTTTATTTTGGAGCTTATTTCTGTCTCTGGGGGTTTAAGGCGTAAACAAACTGGATTAGATAATTGCTGCATCCTTTTACTTGTGCTGCAGATCTGTAACGTCAGCGGCGTGTCACCTCTGCCACGGGAACTTAAGTGACCCGGGTTCCTTTTGTACAAACAACACTCGTCTCACGTTTGATCCCAGGGGAAGTTAGTAGAAATTATATTTAGTTCACCATAGTAACACAATTATGTTACTATGTGTTCTGGTTTGTTACTGGGAGTGGTGACTGGTATTTGATGGTATCTTCTTCTTCGTCTGTCTTTCATGTTACATTGAAGTATTTATTGTTTTATTTGTTTACGTGACTCACACCGAGGATTTACCTTTTGTTTGTTTTTATTATATAGTGATGTTCACAGTCCTGCGAGTAATAACAAAAAAGTCAATTCCTTCTAAACTAAGAAAATTTCAGTAAGAATTATATACATTTATATTATTTATACATTGTATATGTATATATATATATCATGTTGATCTTGTTTGTCCTTGACACTTTCTCCCTTTGCTTTAACTTTTAATTACAGCTACAGCTGGTTAGCTAGCTACATCAGATTTGTATGTATCCACCTGACACCTGTCATAATAAATGGTAAGTAGAGAAAATGCAGGCAGTGGGCAGTCTGGCTGCAGATGACCACAAACGTTTTTAATATTCCAAAATAGAAAAACAATTTTAGGGGCTCAAACTATTATGATTTCCGCTCAAAAATACTTAAATGTGTTTCCATTTCAGGTAGTTCGAATCAACTTGAAGAACCTTGAAGAACCCCTGCCGTGACCCTCAAACATCTGATCCTCTCCACTGTGGTTTCATCTGAAGCAGGAGATCTGCACAGGTAGGCGAGGCTCCTGCACTAACACACATCTTTTTCCATCATTGCTATGTTTTAAGTTTTGGAAAGTCAGTCAGGAGAGCTGAGTCCCAGTCTTGACCTCTGTGACCTTTCCTCCTTTTCTGGTGGAAATGCTCTTTGCTTAGATAACGTAGGAGGTTTTCTGTCCGACTACAAATTACTTTGTTGCGAGTCTCTTGTGAAACCAGGAGAGCGCAAAGTGTGACGGAGTCCAGACCTCACACACTTAGTGCTGCGGAACTGTCCTAACCAAACACTTGTGAAATGTTCTCCAGTCAAACCTCCAGCCTTCCTCAGGTTTCCATGGTGTTCATGTGAGAAAGTGCAGAAAACAGACCATTAAAGAAACTCAATAAAACCAAAAATATCTGCAGTTTATGTGCATACATCGGATGTAAAATGCAAATGATCACACAAGGCAATTTCTGTTTTACTGTGTGGTTCCATTGCTCCCCGACCCAGGACTTGAGTCTGTCCAGTAGCTGCGGGATCTGAGGCGTCAGTTTGGCTCCATGTAGGAAACATTGTTGATGGAGATCGAAGGTGTCATTTGTATTTAGGTTGTTTTTAAAGTTGAATACATTCATGTACAAGAAAAGAATGGTGGGTCAGATGAACCCATATGAGCTTCACCATCTAGTTGAAGTATCCGATATACAAACCGTTCTAATGTTCTAATGACAAAACTAGACTTTGACTCAGCTTAGGCTAAGCGTAACCTCCCCTTGTTCAACCCTTTGTGTCTCCCCCCCCCCCCCCCCCCCCCCCGCCCCCCCCCCCCCCCCCCC